AAAAGAGAGAGGGTTTTATTTTCTGACGCTGCGTGAGTTCCCCGACACACAGGGGACACATCTTTATGTATAAAAGACATCACAAAGTGCATTTTGCATGATAGGTCCCCTTTAAGTAAAGTCTTACTTTCAGTTTGAATGTAAATGATCCAAGGTCAGAGTTTGAGATTAATATGATATAAATAAGAGTGTGAACATGTGACCCTTTACACTGATAGCTCTAAGGTGTTTGATTTATCTTTTATGGTTTCAGGCACACTGCCATCAATCTCGATGCCACATATTGCAGCTTATCAGAGCGAATGAAGTGGGTTTGGGAGTGTCTACTACCTGTACTGAACTTCATTAAGTGACGCTCCTCTTGTATTATTTAAACTTCCTGTGACTCAGGTGAACTCTGAGGTTAAGGGTAAAACAGGTCAAACCTAAAAGTTGACCCCATTGGACGAGGGCAGAAACAACCCTCTAAATATTACGTTCAATCTCACTGCATCTTTTCCAAAACCTCTGTACTCCAGCTTTGACGGTCGAGTCTAGTGTAATCTGACTTTAACAAAAACATACTTCGTTAAAGTCTTTCTCCGTGGTTCAAAACAGGCCCTGGCAAGAAGAGACGGTCTGATAAACTGTCTTCAATCCAAGAGGACAAACCTTCTCTTCCCGCCTGTTTTGGTTTCCTCTCGTCCTGTTAGCCGTCATTCAACTAAAGCTTGCTCAAACGTGAATGTTCAATCAACTAAAAACTGAAAATAAAACCATTTAAATATCCGGATCTAGTCTCGTTGTATTTGTATGTAACGTATTCTTTCCAACTATGGTTTGTGTTTTTGTAAATGCTTCCAAATGTTGTGCATAATCTCATTTTGAAAAGACAAAAGTGGATAAAACTAAAACTGCTTTTTCACTTTTTATGGAGTTTCGTTATTGGATGATGTTGTGTTACCAGTTTAGGTCTTTAGTTAATGCCTCAAGTTCAAAATGGCTGTATACTCACAATCAACCGACACACACCCACACACACACACACACACACACACACACACACACACACACACACACACACACACACACACACACACACACACACTGCTTATAGTCTCTATCAGTGTTGAGATAGGACTGTTGTTGGAGGCGTAGTGGGCCCAGAAGGGCAAAGGTCTGAGTGAGGACACACACACACACACACACACACACACACCCCCACACACACACACACACACACACACACACACACACACACACACACACACACACATAAAGCAGATAGCAGTATCCTGCGCTCTGTTTGCCCACGGTTCCTCTTCGCCCTTTGGTCACCACACCTCAACTGCTTCATCATGTAGTGTGTGTGTGTGTGTGTGTGTGTGTGTGTGTGTGTGTGTGTGTGTGTGTGTGTGTGTGTGTGTGTGTGTGTGTGTGTGTGTGTGTGTGTGTATTCTCCTCTTTATGACTTTCTGTATTCTTTAGGTTACTTGTTGTACACTTTCATTGTGGAAAAGTAACATATTGTAAATGTTATCCAAAGAAATTGTGTTTGTTTTATTCATTACAAGTTAGTTGAACTTAAAAAAAAAAAAAACGTTATTCATCAAAAAACAACAACTTTTCCTGACATTTCTAAATGTTCAAGAAGTTCTGAATTGTATTTAAAGTTCTGACTTTATTCTCAAAATTCTCCCTTTTGCTTTCAATTAGAATATTTTCAAAAAATCCACACTTTAAAAAAAAAAAAAAAGTTTAAAAATATTCTCACTTTTTCCTCGAAATTCTCACTTTTTTCTATAAATTTCGACTTCCTTCTCAANATGGAACGCACGCTATTTGTTTTTTGTTTATATCACGCAGTCTGTCCTTCTACTCTCGGTTGTTGCCTCTTTTGAATGACGAATACAAACTACCGCCGCCTGCTGGTAAGGAGAGTTATTGCCACTCACGCATGCGCAGTTCGTACGTGCTTCTTGGCCGTCGGCTGAAGTCTTTGCGGTGTGTTCCAGTGACACATGGCCAAGACGCAGAGACGCCAGGCGACACAACAGTCAGGTCCGTCTGTGTCAGATCTTTGGTGTCAGCTTGGTGTGTCCGGGCCTTTAGTACGGCAAAATACTTGGTGTGAAAGCGGCTATACTGTTCGTTAGTAAGGTTCTAAATGCATGAGATTCAGGGGAGTATTCTAAAAGTATGCTATAAGTAATTTAACTGCAGGAAACAATCTTATTATTTCTTCCACCGCTGGCAAATTCTCCTGAAGTTGGTTTGTTTTCTTTTATGTGCCACAATGTGTGTAAATGATTGTGAGCCCATCAGATTTGTATATTCTTAATGTAATTTTTCTACATTTTAAGCGGGTTTAACTTGATGAATGTGAGGTAAAGTGAAAACATGTTGGATACAACTTATATATGAAGTCACGGACCCACATTTTATTTACAAACCAAAAGCTGTTTTAATAATAATAAGTGTACAGGATAACTGAATGTAACACTATAACAGAGCAACAACGGTGACTTAATTTAACGTATTAAAAGACAAACAGCATTTTTCCATTGTGTCTGATTTCTTCTAAAAAAATGTGTGGGGGTGGGTTTATGTTTTACACATACGGAAAAGAATAATGGCCACATGTAAAACATTTTATTGAGATCTGACCAAAAGTGCTTTTTATTTTTAGTCGAGTATTTTTAGAAAAATTCTGAATTTTGAGAAGGAAGTCGAAATTTATAGAAAAAAGTGAGAATTTCGAGGAAAAAGTGAGAATATTTTTAAACTTTTTTTTTTTNGATTCGACATGGTAGGCAATCGGCCAAAGGCTGTCGGTCAAATACATCACTCTGATTGGCTGTTCAGCTAGCGAATCAGTGCATGAGAAGCAAAACGGAACTGAGGGACCCAAATAAACTATAAAGAAGGCAAATCTGATATTTCATTGAACTCCAGCTCTCGACACAGTTCCGTTTTGCTTCTCATGCACTGATTCGCTAGCTGAACAGCCAATCAGAGTGATGTATTTGACCGACAGCCTTTGGCCGATTGCCTACCATGTCGAATCGGTAGGTTTTCGGCCAAAAAGGTGTCGGCACGGCCGAAAAGACACGACGGTGCGGGACACACCAATCTGAGTAGGGCGACAGGACGCTCATCGTCGGCCTGACACCCATCGACGGCCAAAATCGGCTTGGTGGGTCCGGGACTTTAGTTCCCAGCACTTAGTTCCCAGCACTTAGTTCCCCCATGGAACTAAGAGCCGATCACGTTCACACCTGAATAAGTCCCTGAGGGAAGATTACGCAAATGAAGCCGCTGACGTCACTTCTTCTGCTTTGGGTTTACTGGCAGGCAAAACAACTTCACGGCGTATACTGCCACCCGAAGTCCCCGGCCGGAAGTCCCCGGAGTTGGGGACTGGCTTCAGTAGAAGCTGCTGGGACTCCCAGCAGCTTCTACTGAAGCCTTCAGAGTAAATCGCCAGAACGCTAATGCTAATAATGCTAATGCCAGCTAATACAATGGCGGCCTCAAAATACTTTTCAGAGTTTTACGGGGCGTGGTTTGCAATTCACCCAGCCATTCCAAATTGGTACTTTTTTCTCCCCAGGATATTACCACCTCTCTAGCAGGCACTAAACATGGGGGTAAAAGTTCTCTGAACTAAGTTCTCTTTTTGGTGTGAACGCAAAATTCCAGGCACTAATGGAACTAAATGGGAAAAGTACTCCGGTGTGAAAGCGCCATATGTATAAGAAATATGGAATACAAGTATTGATTGAAGTAAAACAGAAGTGGTTAAGTACAAGCACCTCACGTTTGTAATGACTTGATATATATGTTAAGACGCACAGATGCCCTTTTTCTGGAAATAAGATATTCCTACTGAGCGAATGCAAATGACTATATTTCATATTTTCTGACTACAGTTATTTTTGTAAATGCTTCCAGTGTTAATAATTAAAGGCAGAACCAAACCCTGTATTATACGTTTCTATGTCCAGTAACATTCAGGAGGTTAACTGTCCCTGCTCACATGTTCTTCACAGGACCACAAACACTGTCACTGGAGTTTAACTATGCGCCCTTTTAGGTGGAGAAAACATCATTTAAAAGCAACACAAAACTTTTCTTTAAATGCATCATCAAGAAACAACAAACACCTGAAAACGTGATTTACCCTGAAAATCCTCTTTTTTTTAAGTAGCTTTATAGTTAAAAACAAACATATGTCCCACACTGTCTAACAGTATCATATCTATTCTGCATGCAGCTCTTCATTGAAGCTAATTATGTTGACATCGAGCGGCAAATTATCAGAGAACAAATGGCAGACGCTGATAGTCTATATGTGGCAAAAACCATTCAAGTTGTTTAGTTGAGTTTTCCCCTTTTTGTATCTGATTGCGATGATAAAGTATAAAGGTTTTCTTTCCATGCAGAACAATGGCAGAGACAGATAAAGAAAAGTTACATTTTTAGACCAACGAGGTGCAAAAGCATTCCTCAAGACTTCATACGAGGAATTTAAACGAGACATTATTTGTGTGGTGTCAAAGGCACAGGAGGAGCTAGCTGACTTTGCAGTGCACTTAGTTTCTTCTTTGGTTAAGTTGGTGCAAAAAGGCTTTTCAATCCCTGAGTTTTTTTTATGGCTGCTTCATTCCATCAAATGGAAATATTCGACATCTTGGGGAAATTCGGCATCTATTTCAACTTGTTTCCTGTTGCAGAAGAGTCTTTTTGCATTTAGCTGTTGATGTGCAACCAAACGTCTTTTAATCGGGCTGAAATCCCAGCAAGCGAACATCTGATCACTTTTACAAACTATCTGCAACAGTCAGATGGTAGAAGGAGTTGCTTTCTCAAACTTTTAAAGGAGCTTTGGCTTTACGAAGAAGGGCGGAGAAAGAAAAAAACATGGCAGGAGGCAGGACGGGGTGCAAAACGTTCCTCAGTTCTTTGGGGAGAGTGTCTCAGTCCAGATCCCCGATGTGAGCGTCCACTAAAAGGTTTCCTCAGTATTCCTCTTTGATGTTCAGAGCCAGCGAGGAGGGCGACACCAGCCCGTTGCTACCACTGCTGCTCGTCACCATGGAGACGCTGTTTCCGCCGTTTCCATGGAGAACACCATTGGCTGGAGGCGTGGTGGAGGAAGAGGAGGCCGGCTGCTGGAGCTTCTTCTTGGTGATTTTACGCTCTTTAGCCCGGCGGTTCTGGAACCAGATCTTCACCTGGAGCCACAAAAGAAAAGGTGTTTTTATTTTTGCAATGTAATCTGAAGACATTTCTTTTTAAATACATTTTTCAAGATTCAAGGCTTTTATTGTCACAGCTGCAGTGTAGTTATGTCGATGAAAATCTGAGGTCACAGGCTCCTCCAACAGAGCAACACAATAAAACAGATCAAATAGTGCAAGTAAATAAAATAACATAGAATATAAGTAGTGCCATAAGAGTGTATACAAGTGGATGGGGGTGGTGGGGGGGATACGGTTGATTTGTAAGTTGTCAAACGGGAGTGGAGATGTTATGATGTCTGTAGTTCAGGTGTTTAATCAGTCTTATGCCTGTGGGTGATGAGAACTGGTACCCGAGTTTCAAACAGATGAATGTTATGGATGATCTTAGTTCAGGTGTTTAACAGTCTTATGGCCTGTGGGATGAAACTGTCCCCGAGTCATATATGTTTTCACTGAGGTGCACCAATTAACCAAAGCTAATTCTTTGTTTGTGAAAAACTACTTGAAATGCATCAGTAATAAATAATATATCTGCATGACATGTAAACATCATTTTAAAGCACCACATTTATTTCCACTGCCAAGAAAGCAATGGTTCCAGTTTGGTTTGTTTGTCAGCAGTATAACGGAAAAACTACACGTCCAGCTTTCATGTAACTTGGCGGATAGGTGCAGCATGGTTGAAGAAATCGGATCCACGCATTATTTTACATTTCTCGTTAAACATAGCAAGATAGGACTTTTAGTTTGATTGCTTTTGTGTTGTTGTTGTTGTTGGTTGGCAGGACTGGTGAAAAACTAGACTTTTTCATGAAACTTGGTGGGAGCGTTTAGCAAGGGCCAAAGAATAACCCATGATAAAAGTCTGTGTTCTTTGAGCGTTGACCTGATGAAAAGTCAGAGGGTCACCAAATGTAATACACGTCATCCTGTTGGGAACAAGAATGGGTGTACCAAATGTCATGACAATCCATCCAACAGTTGTCGAGCTGTCCTGCTGCTACACATACTCATTACAGCGCAAATAGTGGATTAATCCGCCCATAAAAATAGTCCCAAACAAGTGATCAATTGCACTAATTCCAGCTGTTTCAGAAATTTACTTTTAAAACTGAATTTACGAGGAGCTTCACTATGAACCAATGGGCATGTTGTTGGTTGAAGCATTTTACTGGGATTTGTTTACAATAAGAAACATTTAGTTAAAGAAATCCTTCCCAGTTCTTCGTCACCACTTTGAATCTCAAACATGGACGTTATGCTTTATGCAAGAACCTATGAATGTAATGTTTCACCCAATTTTTGTCAGTGTTTTCCCGTACCTGTCTCTCTGAGAGGCCGAGCGTTGTGGCCAGCTCCGACTTCCTCCTGATGGTGATGTATTTGCTGTAGTGAAACTCTTTCTCCAGCTCCAGACGCTGGTGGTCGGTGTAAACCACCCGGTACTTGTCTTTAGTCCGCGTCTTCCCGTCTGAAAAACACAGAAACATAACCTGGTTAGCAAAGGAACTGTTGTCGAAATGCCCCTTGCATTGATTTCACACTGAAGGGGTATCAGTCTTCTGCTCTACGTCTAAAAGTTTATGAAGGTTTCTATGTCTTGGTTTGTTTGTGTCTCAGCAGGATTAAGTAAAAATGATTGTTAACTAGCATTAGCATGACATAGCATTTAGTAGCATCCAGAACCAAACAGTGGTTGTTCCCAGGTTTTAATCTGTAACGTAACCCCAAAATAATAACGCTAATAACATGCAAATGTTTTGAGTTTACGGTAATGCTACGTTGCTACTGTTGAAGCTAGTTAGCCGGGTTTGCCAACAATAGCCACTTATTTAAGAACATTAATGCTTAAAATTTATTTAACAATTTACTTTGTCCTCTGTTTTGAAAAAGCTAAAACGTTTACGCAATCCTCTAAATTCTTAAAAATGTGGAGCACAGTCACATTGTGGGACAAAGCTGCCAACGTTAGCCTCATATTAGCGTATTTGTGTGTCAGCAGAATTAAGGAAAATCTACTATATCGTTATCTAATGCATGACATAGCATTTAATAGCATCCAGAACCAGACAGTGGTTGTTTCAGTTCTGATCGGTATCTTGACCCAATAAATAAATATGTAGTTAGCTAATAATATGCAAATGTTCTGCGTTGAAGGTCATGCTACGTTGCTACTGTTTAAGCTTGTTAGCCATGTCTGCTAACAATAGTAGCTTATTTTAGAATCAAATTATTTCTTAGTAGGTTTTTAACAATTTTCACAGTCACACGTTAAACGAGCAGGACACAGCTGCTAACGTTAGCCTCACATTAGCGTATTCTTGGGTTGGCAGGATTAACGAAAAACCAGTTTAATGTTCACTAGCATTAGCATGACATAGCATTTAGTAGCATCCAGAACCAAAGAGGTTGTTTCTGGTTCTAATCTGTAGTGTTACCCACCAGTAAAATGTGGTTAGCTAATAATATACAAACATTTTAAGGTAAAGCCAAATTACAAGCTAGTTAGCCAGGCCTGCTAACGTTAGCAGCTTATGTTATGCTCCATTTTTATAATTGTTTTAATGCAAATCAGAGTCGGAAAAAACTCTGGAAATGAACAGCATACAACTTGCATTATGGAATAAGTGTAAGAATATTGTTTAATGTTTACATTGTCTAGCAATAGGGTGTAACTTGTAGTCCATATCCGTATAATCCAGACATAATGATTATTAAATATACATGTTTGAGCTCTGCCATTTCACATGTACGAGGATAACATGTTTACCTCATATAGCCTAGTTTTAAAAACACTCAAACCATTGAATCAGTTAATTGAATGTTTCCACTTCATTGACATGAAATCACACCGGCCGTTAGCGTGTTAAAGCTCAATGAAGCGTACGGAGCTGTAGTATTTTATATTATATGTTATAAAACACTCTCGTATAAACTGACGTCAGGCTGCAGCATAATGTGAGTTTTCACCATGACTCCTTTATTCAAATAGGAAACCTGCCTTGGATTGATTTGCATAAACTCACCGTTATCTACTTTTTGTTTAATTTAAATGGACTCAGTGTTCGTGTGTTTTAAAACTCAACTCCATCAGGAGGTCAAGCTGCAGACTAAAACTCACTACAGTTTTAATATAAATGACGAAATGTAATTGTCTTATTCTTACACTAAAATGAAGGTACTTAAAGTATTAATTGTCCAGTAGAAATGTATTCAAATAATGTAAAGTAACAGTAAGAAGTAGGTATAGTACTTTAAACAAAAGAGCTGACTGCTGAAAAGTGTATTTAAAGTAGTAAAAATAGGAGTAGTAAAATGTATTCAAAGTACTTCAAGTAAAAGTACTAATTGTGCAGTAAAATGTACTCAAAGTTCTTGAAATAAATGTAGAAATTGTCCAATGAAATGTATTGAAAGTACAAAGTGTCTTTTTGCGTTGCAGCATAATTTGTTAAGGTAAATTAAAAGGCCTTCAGCTGTCTTTAACACGCTCTGATTCAGTATTAACTCTAAACAAACACCAGGTTCTTCTTTACACACACACACACACACACACACACACACACACACACACACACCCACACACACACACACACCCACACACACACACACACACTGTCTGTCTGTCCAGTAATTGGTCAGCGGGGGGGTTTGGGAGCATCTGTCCGAACGTTCTGCTTCATTTGTGAAAGTGAAAACCAACAGTCTGATAGAGAGCTGACGCTAATGAAGGAGCGTAAATCAGAAGCTCTTCAGCGTTCACTCAAGTATCGTTACTCATTATTCAAAGCAAGAGCCAGGCTAACACTTCCCCCCACTGCCAGTCTTTATGCTAAGCTAAGCTAACACAGCCCTGATTCCTCACTAAGACCCTTTCCCTACGGAGGACGAGAAGTGCCAAATAAATAAAACCATACAAATAAATGTATATTCTATTAAATGCACCTGATTTATTTTTGCTTGATTATTTTCAGTTATTTTCCATTTATAAAAAGTTATGTATTTATACGTGTATACATTTATTTATTTTTACGTTTTTTACCGTTATTTCTCCATAGATGAGAGTAACACATGCGTCACTTCCGGGCAAAAATGACGGCTCCGCCCCTTTCGATATATGGTTATATAAAGCAGTAGGCTATCGATGTCCATGGATGAGAGAAACATCTACGTCACTTTACGGCCCCGCAAACTTTTGGGGAAACCAACGCTGTCATTTGAACGGCGATCAAGCCTGAAGGCACAGAGATCCTTTCTTCTTAGA